GCGGGAGCGGTTGGTAACAAGTGTTGATGCTTAAGCCACCTGTGAATGGGGCGTAACTCTAGTGTAATTTTAACAGGAGTGGGCGGTCTCACAATATCACTCCCGAGCGAGCAAGCAAGTGCTCATGGTATGTGTGTGTGTGTGTGTGTGTGTGTGTGTGTGTGTGTGTGTGTGTGTGTGTGTGTGTGTGTGTGTGTGTGTGTGTGTGTTTGTTTGGTGCTGTCTATGTTTGTGTATGTGTGTGAATGAGAGACAGTGTGGTGCTGTGTGTCCTTGTGTGTGTGTGTGTGTGTGTGTATGTGTATGTGTGTGTGTGTGTGTTTATACAGACAGCTTGTTATAGCCACCCCAAAAATACAACACTGTGTATGGAAAGCATCGTTAATGCACCGTGATGCACCGGAATATCAAATTGAACCGAATCGATGGCATGATAATCATAACCAAACCGAACTGAACTGTGAGACCAGTATAGGTTCACACCTCTAATGCAGATAGAGTTCATTTTCAGTACATTTGTTTTTAAGTTGGTAGGATCACTACATCACTAAACACTATTTAAAGTTATTTTATTGAATATCCATGTCTCAATCAATTAAAAGACAATAAAAGCTGCAAGCAGCGAAGAAAGGGACCTTGCAACCCTGCTTACCACCTCCTATTGGCTTTAGGATTACAGGGAACAGCGGACAACAATAATTTAAGCTGATATATATAAAAAAAAAGTATGCCAAACTTCCTTCTGTCAGCAGGTAGCGCTATGACTGTGACTAAATATTGCCATGTAGATGTCTTCAGGAGAGGAATCTCATTGAACGTGAATTTTCAGTCATTCAGGCATTTTCAGGAATTTTTCAACATTGTGTGACTTGAATAAGTACTTCTTCCTCCATGGCGAAATACTAAACTTTGTCAGTCCACCACGGACAAGCCCTTCAACGTAACTCTAGATCTTCGCAATTTAATGTCACAAAGGCTTTTGGATTAGACTGATGGGACTTGGATTCTATCTAATAAAATTTCTAGGAGTTGTTTGTTTCACTGTCAAACGTCTAATTTTTTGTGGCCATAGGTGGCACTATGATTGTAACTAGATATTGGCTTGTAAACATGTTCAGGTCAGGACTCTTATCAAACGTGAGGGTTTTGAAGCAGATCAGACAATGTATGCCTGAGTTCTAACATCTTTCTGTTTCATGGCAAAACATCTAAGTTTGCGAGGCTGCATGGACACACCCTTCGATGCAAACTCTAGATCATTGCTAAGGCCTTTTGATGACAATAACAGATGTAGGTGTTGATTTGATAAAATACCTAGGAGGAGTTTGATAAATTACAAAATGGCAAATGGAAATGGCGAAATCTGCACTTTTTCGACAGAGAAAGTAAAAAATATCTGACTTCCTGTTGAGTTTTAGATTTCGCTCCAAGAGACTTTTTTGTAGGTATCCGCATGCCTGATGTGTGTGCCAATTTTCGTGTGTATGTGTGAAATGTAGGTGGCATAGGTGGTGCTTCATCTTGACACACCCAGTACTGAACCCTATAGCAAATGTAAATTTTCGCCACTTCTGGCGCATGTGCAAAGTTCGATGAGTTTTGGAGCATGATTAGACCCTCAATATCATAATTCATTCTAAAGAACAAGAACAAGAAGAACAATAATAATAATAATAATAATTTTAATAATAATAATAATTCCAATAGGGATAATTCCATTCCAGTGCTCGGTGCCTTATTGTAAAAAATACCAGAAACCTTCTCCTCTTGTCTGCAATTTAAGCATTTGTACATCTGGTTTTCTTCTCAAGTTATTCAGCACAGTTTATTAACATTGAAAACTCAAGAAGAAACAATCAGACATGTTCCATTTTGTTGCTTTAATATCGTAAAAAACTAAGTAAGGTACCGTGTTGAACATTTGCAGATTGATATGACAGTATAAATGTGATTTATAGAGGTACAACATGATCCATGCCAGAATATGGAGAAGATATTGCTTGTAATTAAATGCACTTCATTGCAATAGTATAGCAATGCAGTTTGGTGGATAAATGAATTAGGATACATAGAACCTGTTATGGTACATGAATGTCTAAAATAGCATTTTTAGAACGCACCATTTTGCTCACATTTCATAAGATATTCACATAATGGCGGGTTCAGACTAAACAATATCAGCCAGATTTCGGTGTCATGGTGATTCATACACAGCAATGAGCATTCGGACACAAAAATCCATCATTTTATCTCATAGTGGATCGCAGCCGAGCCAGCACCATGAAGAATCAAGTACTCTGACATGCTTCTTGTCCATGAAATGGTATGAATTAAGGAGCCCAAACCGCATAGTCTCACACAGAGACTATCATAACAAAGAACAAAAAGGCTGTGTGTTGTCGGTACCCGACATTATACAGATGCTACGGTGAGCTCTTAAACAGAAAGTTCACCCTTAACAGAAATTCTGTCGTCATTTACTCACCCTCATGTAATCCCAAACCTGTGTGACTGACTTTCTTCTGTAAAACATAAAAAGATATATATATATATGTATTTAAATATATATTGTTATATATACACAGGCGATGCAATCCAGTTTTGTTTTGGAAACCACTAACTTTGATTTTACAACCAAAACAGTCACAGAAGTGTGTTAGAGCAAGTAAACAGTGATGAATTAATCCTTTTGAGTGCATGCTCACATTTACAGTACATTGTGAATCATAAGTTAAAGGAACTGAAATTCATTTGTTTTTAACATCCAATATTGGACATACACTTTTGTTCGTATTACACTGTCCGTCTGACTGTTTAAATCCAGGTTATGTTGTTGCTATACTCGAGTACATTACTTTGCAAATACATTATTTGGCATGCACTCCAGAAAAACCATTAGAAAATAATTCAACCTAAAATAACAACATGATAAAGATCTTTAAATGACACTGATTATGTTAACAGGTACACCCATAATGTGATTATTCCCAATAATCAGAGTAAGGACGTCATTGCAGTAATGTTTACATAACACTGTATGAACAAAGCTTTTCTACACAAATGATGAACTCTGGGTTACTGGCTACACGTTTCTATGGGCGTGTTGGAAGATTATATTGTATTGAGAGAATTAAAGGATTCGAAGTGAAGGGAAAGGTTCATATTAATGTCACAGAGTTAATTCATGAAGTTGCAAGAACAAAATGCTTAATCATAATCAAGCTTTGACGCTTTGGTCAGAGTGGTAATAACACAATTAAGGTGTTTACATGCATGTTTACTCATTATGTCAAATTAAAATCAGCATAAGCTACAAATTTAAGTGTGATTATTGTTACTGAGATTATGAGCTTAAAGGGATATTCAAAAAAAAAAAAAAATCATGTTTACTCTGTGCCAAGCCTTTATGACTTTCTTTTTTCTGTTGAGCACAAACAAATATTTTAAAGGTGGCCATTGACATTCTTTTGTGTTTTACAGAAGAAACAAACTTATACAGGTTTGAAATCACTTAAGCGACTAAATGGTGAATAGATTTTAATTTTGGGGTGATCTATGCTTATAATTGCATCAGGTTGATTAAAGTATTGTGCATACAGGGCGATCACTATATTGCCAAAATTGCATTATAATTACTTTATATGATTAATCTCATAGAAATATGTGGCATATACTGATTTTAATTGTGATAAACAAATCCATTTTGAATGAAATCCATGACATTTGGAATTATTAAACGGTCAAGACAACTCACTGTGCAGTCTTCTCCATATCTTCCTCCAGGGATGATTACAGCAACATTATGATGTTGGTCATTGTGTTGAATAAGGGATTTTGGCAATTTTGTGGTTAAACGTTACTTTGTGTAAATAGTACTATCAAACAAATACGATTATTCTCAATAGGACTGGGCAGTATGATTATGCATAGAGAATGGGAATAAGTTGACACAGTGCAATACATTCTGGGCATTGATTCCCATTAATCTCTTTTGATTTATTGTATAATACACTCATTAGCAATAAACTATAAGTGTACACATAACAAAGCAAATCATTTATGAAAATGTTTTCTTGTGGCAGTTTGTTGATACTTACAGATAAACTAGTTCATTTTTTAACCGCTCCCTCTACGTTTTTGCTCCACTTCTCTAATTACACTTCAGTGTTGGATACAGAAATCTTATGGAATGTTTGTTTTCAGCTTCTCAGACACACAGATAGCTTTCATAAAGTTATTTACATGTTTGTTAATTTTATTCTGAGTGTATTTAGTATGTTTTTCTAAAGGTATTAAAATGGTCAGCTTTTTCTGTGGTGATTTCCATTGGTTTATATTGTGCTTTCTTGCGTGTCCACAACAATAGCAGAACAGAACTCACTGTGGCGTAGATTCCCATTCTCTGTGCATTGACATTTAAATAAGTGGGCGTGGCTAACCCACATGTAGTGTCTGTGAGTCTGAATAAGGTCCGCAATCTGAGGTGAACTTTTGCCTGAGTTAGTTTAAAGTCAGTTTTGCATTACTGACTTTGAAATGGGAATGTGAATACAGGACAATTCTGTGTACAATAATATCCCTCGGTAAATTACTTGTTCATCCAGGTCCTAATGCCCATCCGTTAGCATGACTGACTCACATGGGGTGCTGTAAACTTTAGACTAAAAAAATGAAAGTCAAATACACAAATAGCATGCGTTATGTCATAAATTGACCAGATTTTATAAAAAAGGGTTTGATTGGTGTGGCATAAATCATACATAATTCAGTTTTCGCTGTAATAAATTCTTCTTCTTTATAAAACGCTCCCAAACAGCCTCCCGTTGATCCCTAGTGCCCTTCAGAAATTTATTCAGGGGCTGCTGTGTTACGCTAATAAAAATTAAAGGGAAGTTAGTTCTATCTAGGAGCAAATCATCAATTGGGATCATAAAAATATGAAGATTTTAATTTATTTTTAGAAGCTAAATTTTATGTAGAATAAGAATCTTAAACCTGACTCTTCAAATTAACCTGAAAATGAACATTTCACAAAAACACACAAACCGAAAAAAAAGCTGATAGCAGCTTAGCCAAAGGGTGTTTGACAAAAGCCCTTTTAATTTCTGAAGATTTTTAATTTATTCAGCATCTCTTTATTTTTACTGATTTTCTGAAATAACTATCTATTTAAATATAGATCATACAGCCCACCCCTAATTTAAATCATTATAGTAGTAACCATAATTACATTATTCTGTAAACAATTTTGTAAACAAAGCAGGTAAACACCTTTTTCACATTATTACCCCTAGTTGGCAAAAAAAATCTGTGACCATAACTCATTGCAAAAAGTGTTTGCGCTACATCATCAGTGCACAGAGTGCAGTTCAACATAAACAAAACCAGTTACATGTCCATCACAACGCCATATATGTAGATGTAACACATCTAAAATCCAGCCCAGTCTCATTGCAAATACATGCCTCAGCCTACATTTTTTTGCAACATAAATTACGTTGCTCTGGGTATGTTTGGTTGCATTTTACAGATGGCACTGATTAAATTTTTGCTAATCTGAAATACATTACTTGTGGTACGTTTTGTTGTACATTTCAGATACATGTACTTCCTGATACACTTCCTCAAGAAGGCAGAGATCACCTGACCCAAACTCTTCCCCAAACGCAACAAAGTGTTTTCAAATGTGAATGTAAGAAAAACAATTGCTCTGCAACCACATACTATTACCTTGATTTTGACCATACTCAAACCCGAGCACTTTTTCTCACGAGTACAACACCTTGCATAATGAGCTACTGAGTGAATTGACCAGAAAACTGATTGTTGTTGTTACACCCCGTATCATTCGTTTTAAATAGAACCTGCAGTCAAAGTAGTTTTTTTGGGCCTCACAAAAATATGAGCAGAGGCACATATTTCCAATGAGAATTTGTTGCTAATTTCATCATTTCTGCTGCACAGTTTCTGAATAATAATACAGTTTGTTGGTACAAAAACACACTTCTTAATGAATAATTATAATAATATCAACTGCCTGTAATATAAAAGTAAAGAGGTTGGCTTTTGTCATGCAAACAGCCTATTATGCAATTATGTCCTTACTCTGATGATCAGAAATCATTTCATTATTTTTGCACATGTAGAGTAAATGTAGTCAAGGTCAAGCACTTATGAGGATTAAGAACTATCAACCGTCTCACTTGGCAGCTTCATATACAACAGTATGTGCATTGGTTTTGTAGCATTAATGATGTCCTGAAAAAAATTGTACTGTATATAACAATGCTCTGACCTATTGTGCTGTATAAAAAACAAAAAGGCCTAATGTTATGAACTTGTAAACTCTGAGACGAAGCAAGACATTTGAAATGCACCTTCTTGTAAAAGCAACAGGTACAAGAAATACATACACTTGTATTCAGATTATAAATATCGTTTATAAATAGTTCATTCTGGAAGCAGCTAAAATGTTGATTTGGTTTTGGATTCACAGTGTCCTTTTGCGTGATTTCATACCGAATCTACTTTGACTTGATTGTTGTTTGTCATTAAAGGGGATGGCTTGCTTTTGATTCGTTCTACAGCGTCATTTGAGCTCTCAGGAAAGAACATCCTCGCAGTGCAGAGGGAGATGATAATTTTCTTGTACTCTCTTCTGAAGTTCTGGTTCAGCAGTCCGTAGACTATGGCATTAAGGCAGCTGTTGAAATAGGCCATAAAATAACTGGATACAAAAAACCACTCCGGGATAAGAGGCGCAACCTGGTCTGGGTTAATAGCGACTGCCAGGCCGATGAAATTGAGAGGAGCCCAGCATACAGCGAAAAGGACAAACACCACAAACATGGTGACAAAGTTCCTTATGTCATGCGGCGTAAGCTTAGGCCGGAATTCAGGCTTGACGCGTCTCCTCACTTGGATCACCAAGATCCAAATGCGCAAGTAGCAGTACGTCACAATCATGATTGGAAGGATGAAATGGAAGAAAACCACTGCAATCGTGTACGCCGAGCTGGCCGACTGCGCAAACGTACATGAGTAGACCCTGGGGTCGTACTGCAGGGAGCCCACGTAAAAGTTTGGCACTATTGCAACCACGGTCAGAATCCAGATAAGAAGGACGTAGCAAAGAGAGTTCTTGTCACTGTATAGCTTGTCATACTTGAGGCTGTGACAGATGTAGCAGTAGCGGTTGATGGCGATGCCCGTGATGTTAAATATAGATCCAATCACGCTCAGTCCCATCAGGAATCCACTGATCTGGCAGTGGACAAATCCCAGATTCCATCCATTGTGGAAAATGGAGACCAGGACGAGAGGATAAGGATAGATGGCCACAACAAGGTCAGCTACGGCCAGACTCACCACAAATATGTTCCCTGCAAAACAATGACAGTGGGAACACAAGAAAAAGGCAAATAAAACAATTGCAGGCACTGTAAAATAATGCTTTTTATAGTAAAGCAATTTTATTAATTCCCATAATCCAATTTATTAGGTCACTGAATAGCACGAGGGCAAATTCAATATTGTGGCAGACCTTTAAAATGTTTATTACAAATATGTTTATCATCTCACATTGATTCTGGTTGATTTCTAAAATAAAGTTTCAATGTTTTATAGCTGTCCTTTTCAGGATGGTTGTATATTTTTGCAGCGTGACCTTTATTGCATCTAATTAAATCATATCTTTCCTAAGTCCGTCAGCTGCTTTCACTATTAAAGGATTTGAATTGCATCTGTTATTGTCACATGATTCTTCACTCTGCATTGAAGACCCTTTAGAATGTTTGGGCCTTGTGTTATTCGAGACACTACCTGATCAAACAAGGCTAATGGAGTCAGAGATTTTAAACATTGATGCTTGTTTACAGTAATATTGTAAAATTTTAATTTCATCTTATAATTTTTTTTTAATCTTTTTATGAGTTTTATCCTGAACACTTACAGCAAATGCCTACAGATCATTGTCATATAGTAGGCATACAAAATTCTAAATTATTTCATGCCAAAAATCATTATACTATTAAGTAAAGTTAAAGATCATGTATCAAACAGCAGTGGAAAGAGTACAGAAAAAGGTATAAAAACCAACATTACTTGCCAAGAAATGTAGTGCAAGTAGAGTAGAAGTTTCTTTTCTAAATATTACCCGAAGTATCAGTAAAAAAAAGCCTTTTTAAAGTACTCAAAAGTGGTGAGTATTACACTGTGAAAGATTGTAGTGTTGTAGCATTTGCATGCATTTAGTTTTGGTTTAAGGCCATTACAGTCATCCTGCAGCAGACAACCGTCATCTTCTCATCAGTGACATGCCTCTAAACAGTCTCTGGGTCAATGCGTGTAAAGATTTTGGGCAACTTTTTGAACACTTTTAATGCTTCCAAATGGTTAGCTGCATTTATAAAATGCACATGTCTTAAGGTTTTTCAGTGTGATGTGATTTACTTTCTATGTGCGATGTGATTGGACAAGATCATAGGACTGATTTTTTTTTTTTATACTTTAGCTAATCCCCATAGACGAGGAAAAATAAAGTAGTGACTGCAGGTTAAAGGAAAATAGTGGAGTAAAAATACTAATGCAGCACTAAAATATACTTAGGTGAAAGTAAAAGTGCACATTTTTTTAATTACTTAGTAAATTACAATTTGTTCCCTTGGAATTATAAGGTTCAATTTGCATTCTGGATGATTTTGAGATATTGAGCTTTTGCATTCCATAGCAAACAGTATGTGTGTAACACTTGTTTTTGTTTCAATAAAAAGTCTTAGGGTAATGAAATTTGCCCAGCGTGCTCACGGTTTTTAAAGAAACTTTTTTGGTGCATTAATCTTGTCAATACTAATGTTCAAAAAGGTAATGATTCACACTCATCAAGTAATTGCTTAGTACTGTACCTTTGCCACACACTGAGGAAAGCATTGTGCCAAAGCGTTTTTGTTTTTGTATCACCCGAAGAATGTAAAAATAAAAACAGTACGAAGCAATTACTTGATGAGTGCAAATCATTACCTTTTTAAATAAAAAAGCCTTTAAAATCCTATAATGTAAATAAGTTGTGATTAAATAAGAATATGTTAACAACTCAATTTTGACAAAAATGTCAGATAAAACTATAATTCAAAAGGGACGAATTCCTAAGAAAGAAAAACACTCAATTAGAGTAATTAGAGTATTTGTAATTTGTTACTTTACACCACTATCAAATATGTAAAAACTATAAATAACTCTAAAAACTATAAATTTATATACATAAATTTTTGATTAGTAATATGCAATTGCCAAGCACTTCATTTAGATAGCTTTAAGACGATTTAGCTTTAGTTTTGAAACCTCAGATTCTAGATCCTCAGATTCCTTCAGTTTCAGATGATGTATAGGCCTGACATTGATTAACAGTATATATCACTGACATAGTGTGAAGTAACAAATTACAAATACTCAAATTACTGTAATTGAGTAATTTTTCTCAGAAATTGTAATTTGCTAAGTTGTTTTAAAAAATGTGTACTTTTACTTTATCTTGTGTGCATTTAGTGCTGTATTGGTACTTTTACTGCATTACTTTCCTTCAACCTGCAGCCACTACTTTATTTTCTCTTGTCTATGGGAATTAGAAAAATCAGTCCTGCAATTGCTGTCCAGTTAAATCACACATAGAAAGTAATTTGCATCATAATGAATAACCTCAAGACATGAGCGCTTTATAAATGCAGCAAACTGTTTGAAAGCAATAAAAATGTCCAAGAAGATGCATTTAGATGCATGTCATTAAAGAGAAGTAACTGATGTTTACTGTATGATGACTGAAATGGCCTTTAACACCTAGCGGGCACATGAAGTCAGATTGACAATGTAACCCAACATCTTGGAGACGTTACGTTTGGTTTGGAAATAAAAAATCATGTTGACTTCAGAACCCAACATTCAAACTAAAATCAACCAAATATCAGCATCTAATGATGTTACAGTTTGATGTTTTGTGGACATTACCACTATGACGTCTATCGGATATTGGATTTTGGTTGCCATATCTGATGCATAAATGTCAGTATTTGACGTCAGTATGACACTGGTTTAAGATGTTAGATTTTGTTCACTTTATAACACAACCTAAAATCAACCAAATATCAACATCATTTGACATCGTTATTAGACATCTAAATAATGTTGTCTTTTTAGACGCAGACTAGTCAATGAATTTTGGTCATCTGACATCACAATGTAAATCTAACATAAATTTAACATCTTATGATGTTGTGTGCCTGCTGGGTAATAACTAAATGCACTACAGAATGTTACGTTTACACACATCCACAAATTACATGTAAATGCATCAGCTTTTTACAGCGTGATACTTACTACTCTTGAGTTCTTTTAAAATGGTTACTTTTTACTCCTACTTAAAATATTTTTACAACAGATACTTTTACTCTACTTGTGTTGTGATTGCCAGTGGTGTTGTCTCCGTTGGTGATTAGATCCTGTAGTTTGTTGCAATCGCCAGTGGGGTTTTCTCTATTGGAGATTACTGCTGAACGCACTACAACTCCCAGAACTCCCTGCTTTCATCAACTCCTACTGCAGCTGACAATAATCCAGACACTCACACACATACACAGCTGCTGCTCATCTACACTGATTACAAGGACTATAAATACACCTCACCTTCATTCACACATGGCAGAGTCTTGTTTCACTATTGAGCATTATGAAGCGGTTTCCTTGTTTGATTTTCCCATGTTTTGATTCTTGCCTTGTTTCTTGTCTTGACCCATTACTGCCTAGTCTGACCTTCCACTGGTTTATTGATCACGATTATTGGCTTACCCTTATGTTGCTGTTTTGCTCCTGTTTATGACCCTTACCTGTACGACCTTCATTAATAAACTGCATGTGGATCCGCAAATCTGCTCTTAACATCTGCTCGGATACAAAAAGCACTTCATTTTTAGGCAAGAGATGGTACTTTTACTTATCACTTTTCAGTACTCTTTCCACCACTGATCATTGTCAAAAAAATGTACACTTAAAATTGGTATTGTTGTCCATGGTCATTTTATCTGAAAGTGTGCATATTTATACAGTCTACTTTAAATGCTATAGTACTGTATATAATCAGGTAAAATTTATGCCTATTGCAGCATGTATTTGTGGAAACTTTTTACAAAAAAAAAAAAGCCATCTAAAAGCAAAATGAAGCCAAATAAAAAAAAATATTAAAAAGCTTGTCTTGACCACTATTAAACAGTATTTTTCCAAAACTTTAAAGTCAGCCAGAAATGTTTTTCTATTGTCATTTTATTTGTTCATATTTTATTCTGTCTCGTTTAGAGAGGTAAAACTCCGAATAAATCTAACTTTCTTCCTTAAAAAAAAAAACTGGACTTGTAGGTCAGATGTGGAACACTGCTCTCGCATTTTGTCGTTTTATCTCATGCACTTGTGTGAACTCATTGTGCAAATCTTGTAATCCTGAAGCACTGCAAAATAAATACATTCATGATTTAGCAAATTTAGCTCAATGTTAAGAGGATTCATTAGAGCAGAAGATCGTTCCAGAACAGTGACTCAGTGAATTATTCCTGTGACATCTCAACGGCTTCTCACTTTTCAACTGTTATGTTCTTAAAGTTTCATTGAGGACGACTAGTAGAAAAAAGGAAAATATAAAGTGAGATCTGGAGAGCCCAGCAGGGACTCTATAGATTGGAAAGCAAATCTCTCTGCAAAAGTCAACTTCACTTCATGTGAGACGTCATTATTTTGAGTGCGCAACTTTAACAAGCTGAAGCTTGTCTTCCCTTGAGTTGTTCATGCTTTGTATGATTACAAATGGAGGGACTTTTAATTATACTGTTTTTTTTAACATACAATAAGTATAGTATGAAACTATTAGCTACATCTGAAGCTACATATTAGTCTTAGAAACAGGGTGACATATCTAATAACACATTTGTAACGTTTGACAGAAACGAGTTGCACTGTGTGTAAATTGTATTGTTAGGGGGCTTTCACACCAGTGAATCGATTCAGTTCACAGAAACAGAGATTACAATTGTTACATTGTTGCTCTTTGCTCTTGGTGTGGTTTGCTTTCACAAAGCAAAATTTCTTAACGGAATAAAAGAGCTAAAACAAGTCACGTGTGAAAAAACTCTCCTCACATTGGTCAGAGTTTCGGGGTTTATTTTGCGAGGTCCCGCTCAGCGGTCAGGAAGGGTGGTGGTTTGGTGGTGTTTGACAAGGTGCACGTGATGTGTCTGAAGAGCGATGAGGGATGCGGTGGGGCGGGGTGAAAAGGGTGCGCGACGAATATGAGGACCGGGAGGGAGACGCACAATTTCCAGGAGATTATCACTCGTTTATGGGCATC